GGAAAGAATCTTAAAAGCAGCAAGAAAAAAGACAGTTACCTACAAAGGAGTTCTCATAAGACTATCAGATGATTTCTCAAAAGAAATCTTGCAGGCAAGAAGGGGCTAGAAAGAAGTATTTCAAGTCATGAAAGGCAAGGACCTACATCCAAGATTATTCTATGCAGTAAAGCTACCATTTAGAATAGAAGGGCAGATAAAATGCTTCCCAGATAAGGTCAAGTTAAAGTAGTTCATCATCACAAGTCCTTATTATATAAAATGTTAAAGGGCGTTATCTAAGAAGATAAAAAATATGAATATTAAAATGAAACAAACTCAAAACTATGAATAAGCAAACCTAAAAAAAGGAAAACAAAAACAAAACCGAACTAAGCAAATAATTGGAATAGGAACAGAATCACAGAAATGGAAATCACATGGAGGGTTATCAGCAGAGAAGGGGACAGGATAGAATGGAGGAAATGATACAGAGAATAAGCATAAATAGGGGTAGGAAATGGAGAAGCCAAAGAACTTGTATGTATAGTCTATGGGCCTGAACTAAGGTTGGGGAATGATGGTGGGAGCAGGATACATGGCAGAGGAGAATAAAGGGGAGGAAAAATGAAACAACTGTAATAGCATAATCAATAAAATATAGAAATGAGTCCTAATTCTTCTGGATCAGTTTTAAAAAACCCATTTGCCCTTGCTGGTGTGTTTCAGTGGATTGAGAGCCAGCTTGCAAACCAAAATGTTGTTGGTTCAATTCTCAGTCAGGGCACATGCTGGCCTTTGGGCCAGGTCCCGAGTTGGGGGCATGTGAGAGGCAATTTATCGATGTTTCTCTCACATACTGTTGTTTCTTTCCCTGTTTCTCTTCCTTCTCCTGTCTCTAAAAATAAATAAATAAAGCATTTTTTAAAAGGGGCCCATTTATTATTTGGTTCAGTGTTTTACTGTGTGAAGTCAAAGTAGTAATGTCAGTTAATGAAGCTTCACACTTCATTGTTCACTAGTTAAAATCTATGAATGAATTAAAGAACATATAGAGGCAAGTATTAAAAGGGAAGAAATTCATTTGTAACAAATGAAATCAAATATAAAATACCTTGTGTAACATTTTTTCAAACTTCAACTTCACACAGCACCAACCAAAATCTGGTGAGTCCAACCAGGGACTTGAACACAATGATGTTTCTAAACACAGGAGGCCAAACATCAGTGAACATGACAAGCTAACTCTGTTGAGTCATATATTAGTCCTAAATTGCTTTTAAAAGAACACATCAATGAAAATAAGATGCCACCTATTGGCCAACTCACAGAATGGCAGGAATACTGTGAATAGTGAGTAATGGGCGGCATTTCAGAAGTTGCCATGGCAAATCATCATTTTTTTAAAAAAAGAAAGCAAACAATAGTATAAATCATAAATCATTTTATTTACCTTCAATGTTAAGGAAACCTGTGTGGTGAAGTGGTTGCCTCAGACCAGGCCTCAGAAGCAGAAGTGGCATACAGCACTTCAGGCTTCTGAATCTAGAGTGCTCTTCTGACCACTGTGGACAAGGAGCTGATGCAGTAGCCTCAGCTGGCAAGATGATGATACACAACTGCTTATGTTTTCAAGACTGAGTCCATGTCAATAAAGGAAGTGAGAAGTGTTGACACTTGGGAGTTTTGAGAACAGTGCCTGCAGAAACTGCTCCCATGTTGGATGTGGAGAAAGAGAAAAGGCAAGTATGCCTGTGGTTTGGAGGGAGAGAAGCAAGATCAGGGTAGGAGAGAGGGCAAGATCAAAATTCAGTCTCAGACATGCTTGGTATGAGACTCAAGTAGAGAGTCTGGCAGAAACAGGGACATAGGAATCTAAAATTCAAAAAGAGGTCTAGGCTACAGAGAGCTTTGCAAGTCACTGGGATCCAAACATTACTTAAAGTTGTAGTGCTGACTACAGAGAGAAGTACTAAGAGATCAAGTGCAGACTGAGTGAAGACAGCAACCCAACTCTAAGACACTTTACACTATAGGGTGAGGAGAAGAAAAGGAACAGATTAAGGAGTCAGGAAGAGAGCACTCAGTGAGGTGGCCAAAGCACCAGGTAGGGGATGGGTTCCAGAAGCCAAGGAAAGAAGTAAAACAAAGGAGAGGAAGAGTGACAACTGTTCAATGCTGCAGCAGGCACAGGGACTGCCATGACCATTGAGATAGGACACAACTGCAATCTCCCAGCATGCTTAGTGTTCATTAGTCTGACCATAAATAGAGATGATCTCCACTAGTGTTTCTCTTTCTGATTCACACCTGTTGTCTTCCATAGTACTCAGGAGGACAGTTTTACATAAACATTTGTCTTCAATCTGAGTTGAGGCAGCCTCTGAAGTCTAGCAAATATGTTTTCCTCTCTAGCCCTGATGGACATCCCCTAATAGTAAAAGGCAGGAGAGTGGGGTCACTTTCGCATCTGCTCCACTGGTTCCAACCTGAGTGATCCTAGGCAGTGTAATCATTTTGACTCCTAGTCTCCACAGCTATAATAGGGCATTAGTGTTATAAAGCTGAAATATGGTAAAATTCACAGCATGCCACCAAGGACAAAACCTGGAAAATAGTAGATGCTCAATAAGCATTTCCTCCTTCCTCTTTTCCTCTGCTATTAGAGGCATGCCTCGTTTTATTGCATTTCACTGATATTAAATTTTCATCAACATCAAAGCAACATCTTCCACCAGCAAATAGATTAGGGCTCACTGAAGGCTTAGATCATGGTTAGCATTTATCAGCAATAAAATATTTTAAAATTAATGTATATACATTGTTTTAATGGATATAATGCTTAACACACTTAACAGACTTCAGTAACTATTCATTTAATGTTGTCAATAGGTTCTACCATCTTAATGACATACAATGAAACTAAACTTACCATAGGCCAATTGACATACAGAAGAGTTAAGTTCCTATAATATATCATCAATATTATAATGGAACAATGTGAAACAAATGATGTTATACAAAGACATGCTGTATAGTCTAAACATAGCTTTTATGGGCACTGGGAAATAAAAAAGTGTGTGACTCACTTTATTGTGATTTTCACTTTATAGTGGTGGTCTGGAACCAAACCCGCAATATCTCTGAGGTATGCCCGTATAAACTACTGTTTAGAAAGCCAGACTTGAGGCCAAGATGGAGGTATAGGTAGACAGACTGTGCCTCCTCACAAATCCAAAATAAGGACAACAAAAATTTAGAAACAACAACAACAACAAAAACAACCAGTACTGACAGAAAATTGAACTATATGGAAGTCTGACAACCAAGAAGTTAAAATAGACACATTCATCCAGATGGGTAGGAGAGGTGGAGTTGGGCGCTGGGAGGAGAGGGGTCCCAGTGAAAAAAGCGGTGGCTGGCAGACCCCAGGTGCACAGGTGGTGGCTGGCAGACTCTGGGTGCGGGGCGGCAGCAGGGGGACCCAGGAAGGCAGCAGATTGTGGAGGGAAATGGCATGCAAGGTGGCTGGCGGAACCAGGTTGTCCCACATTTGCACACATATAAACCAGGCAAAACTGCAGAGTGAGACAGACTGCTCAACCCAGGGCCCCAACGATGGGAAATAAACCCTCAAAACACTGATTGAAAACACCCTTGGGGGTTGAGGTGCCAGGAGAGACTCCCAGCCTCACAGGAGAGTTCATTGGAGAGACCCACAGAGTCCTAGAACATACACAAACCCACCCACATAGAAATCAGCACCAAAAGAGCCCTGTTTGCTTGGGGGAAGCAGCAGAAGGGACTGAAATCTGGTGACTGAAAAATTCCCCAATCTGGCAAAGGAAATAGACTTCCAAGAAGTCCAGGAAGCTCACAGAGTTCCAAAGAAGTTGGACTCAAGGAGGAACATACCAAGACACATCATAATTACATTACCCTACCTAAAAATGAATGACAGAATCCTAGAAGCAGCAAGAGATAAAGAGACAGTTACCTACAATGAAGTTCCCATTAGACTGTCATCTGATTTCTCAAAAGAGATCTTGGAGGCAAGAAGGTGCTGGAAAGAAGTATTCCAAATCATGAAAGACAAGGACCTACATCCAAGATTGCTCTATTCAGCAAAGCTTTCATTTAGAATGGAAGGGCAGATAAGTGCTTCTCAGATAAGGTCAAGTTAAAGGAGTTCATCATCACCAAGCCCTTATTATATGAAATGTTAAAGGGACTTATCTAAAAAAAGAAGATAAAATACATGTATAGTAAAATGACAGCAAACTTACAATTATTAACAACCACACCTAAAACAAAAGCAAACAACTAGAAGAGGAATAGAACCACAGAAGTAGAGATCACATGGAGGCTTAGCAACAGGTGAGTGGGAGAAGAAGAGAGGGGGAAAAGGTAGAGAATAAGTAGCATAGATGGTAGGTAGAAAATAGACAGGGGGAGGGCAAGAATAGTATGGGAAATGTAGAAGCTAAAGAACTTATAAGTTGACACATGGACATAAAGTAATGGGGGGAAATGTGGGTGGGAGAGGGTGTGCAGGGTGGAGGGGAGTGAAGGGGGGGAAATGGGACAACTGTAATAGCATAATCAATAAAATATATTTAAAAAAAAGAAAGCCAGACTTGAGAGAAGCAGACACATGGCCAAATTGGTGTTCACCTACCTTCTTCCCCAGGGTCAAGGCCTGAAGATAAGGGTGTGGAAATGCTTACAGTACTTAAGCTTCTTTCACAGGGTCACAGAGGCCTCCCCAAAAGAGAGATTCTCCTGACATGAATCACATGAGTGGAAATAGCAAGTAAATCTTAATTAGTTCTGATCTTAGATACTGACCCCTAGGAAAACAGTCCATCTACTCCTTAGCCACCAGGTCCCTAAAATTTCCACATGAAGCCATGTATGATTTATCACTCTATCCCACTCAACATGACTGGAAGAGAGAAGGGTCCCTGGAGCCAACTACCTGCTTCACACCAAGTTTATTAGAAAGTGAATGCATTGCTTACCTTCTCAATGTCTACAAGTTCAGTCTCATAAATCTCAGCAATGGTAATGTGGTGTTTAGCTGCAATTGTAAACCTTCCCTGGGGGGATGACAAAAAAACATAGTCACCTTACTGTTTTGCCTATTTTAATGCCAACCCACTTAGAAGCAAGGAAAAAAGAATATAACACTAAACCATTTCAAGGAGTCCACCCCACAGCCACTCAAGCAAGGCAATGTCTTACCATGTCTGTGTAAATGTCGATGGCTGCATTTAAGCAGTTGATAGCCTCTGAAGCGTAGGCATTTAAGAAAAACAATGAAAAATCCATTCAGTCAAACAGGGTCCAGGTGAGCCTATCTTTCTGGCTGCTACTAGAACACTAAGGGGGTCCTATTTGGGGCAGAGTGTGGGCAGGTTGGTTAGTGAGAAGCAAACACTAATCAAACACAAATCCAGATCTCCTCACCATGCTCTCTAAACAGCAACTGTAGCCCTGCCTGGTGTAGCTCAGTGGATTGAGCACGGGCCTGTGAACCAAAAGATCGTGATTCAATTCCCAGTCAGGGCACATGCCTGGGTTGCAGGCCAGTTCCCAGCAGAGATGCATGAGAGGCAACAATACATTGATATTTCTCTCTATCCTTCCCTTCCCCTCTAAAGAAAAATAAATAAAATCTTAAAAAATAATAATAAATAAAAATAAAAAATAAATAGCAACTGCAGTGCAACTTAGGGAACTGGAACTAGAGTGGTATTGGATCAGTTACTCTTAATCTAAGAGTGAGAACTCCACCCAAGGGAGACATTGCATTATACAGAAAACAAATACGGATTGTCAACAACAATGATCATCTACATCAGCTATAACACAAATGTAAGTGAATTCCTCAGTAACATCATGTATATATGTATATATTCTTTTGGAAGACAATACTTTACAAGAAAGATGACTTAATAGGCTACTGTTCATGCAGCCAAATCAGAAAGACTTTGAAATCCTTGTGCAGACAGCTCTTAAGTGAAGTCAAGATTTTGTACAATGTTAAAGATGCTAAATTTTGGTGTGCTAACATATACACAAAAGGAAGAAAAATCTAATAAATGACAGTGTTAATAAGTATATCAATCTCCTTTTTTGTATATCTTTTAACTGAAAACTTTATTGGTGACCTGCAAATGTGTACAAGTTAAAACATGAATACTTCATATGGTTTAATTACAGCATTTAAATTTTCAAAGAACATTACATTGTAAGAAATGATGCAATTCTTTTTTCTTTTCACTATAAGTAAAGGTTAACATTGCTACAGCAAAAATGCAGGTATGAATTGTGATGAGAACCAACACATATTTGGAAACCAGGCCATATAAGCTTGGCTGGTGCATTCGGTCATTTCACTGTCCTTCAAAAATAAAGATTTGTAAATACTTTCCACCACATATACATCTACATGCATCATCTATGTTCTTATATAAAATTGATGCCCACAGGGCTGGCATTTAGGAATGCACTGAAATGAATTCTGAGTTAAGAAAAGCATTTCATGGGATGAAGGAACCAGGTCCAAAATGAAAAAGCTGGAAGTTTGCATTTTAAAACTGAGGACACATTTCCAGATAAAAGAAATTAAACTTCTGTCCAGAGAGTTTCATGAATATTTTCATTGTATCTACAGAATTTAAAATGTCTACAAGAGCTGCAGACCCTTAATTAACACACTTGACATTTTGCTTCTTAAAGATTTAGCATTCTCCACAAAAAACTTCAAAACAAAACCAGTTTTCTCTAGGAAGCATTTCCAGCCTCAAGAATATTCATGATTTTAGAATGTGTGAAGCCCACTTTTCTCTTGATAGTCTTCATAGAAGCATCTCAGGGACTCATGAGTTTGGGCATCACAGTGCTCAGGGCCTGAGTGATATGTCTTCTCCTAATGCATTTGGCTTTCATATCTTCTTCCAGCACCAGCAGGAAGGCCTCTCTGCAGACAGTATGTGTCCATTTGGAGGATGAATTCATTCAGATCGACGTCCTGACTGACTGGCATAGAGTGAAACTGTGGGTTAAAGATTTCCCTCCTTGTGGTTGCATCTGGTAAAGGCACATTAGATAATTCTATTGATTCTTCCAGGCCGCATTAATGCCTTGTCTATCTTATCTGGGTGGTTAGTAGCAGCCAAAACTGGCATGTCCTTTAACTGCTCAATGCCATCCATCTCCATGAGGAGCTTAGCCAGAACAGTCAACCACATTTCCAGCACTTGGAGAGCTGCCCATTTCAAGTTTGAAGAAAACAATGGAAGGAGCCACCATTCTTGCTTTGTGGAAGACCTCTCTAACAACTATTTCAGATTCACCAATATACTTATTCATTAATCCAGGCCCCTTTATGGGTATGAAATTCAGTCCACTTTCATTGGCCAAAGCTTTAGCAATCATCATTTTAGGGCATCCAGGTGGCCTGTACAGCAGAACTCCCTTAGGTGGCTGAACATGCATTTGGATGAAAGACTCTGGGTGCTTCAAGGGCCATTCCACAGCATGTTTCAGTTTCAGTTTGGTATTTTCCAGTCCTCCTATAGCTGACCAGGATACATTTGGAACATCAACTGCAACCTCCCTCATGGCACTGGGCCTTACTTCATTCATCACCTACAAGAAATCATTCAGAGTAATCTTCACCAACCCAGCCACCTTGCTGTCAGGGAGGTTAGGTGTTTTCTGCAGGACTCTCCACAAGGCACAGAGACCTGATTCATTACAAAGACTTTCAGGTCTGCTGCAATGTATCCATGAGTAATGTTTGCCATCTGCAGCAGGTCAGCTTCAGTGAGGACATGGGGCACCTTTTGAAGTAGTTTCCAAAGGATATCAAGCACGTCCTGAGCATTAGGAACTCAGATCTCAATCCCTTTATTGAATTGCCCAGGTCAGTGAAGTGCAGCATCCAAAGCATGAGGGCAATTTGTGGCCCCAATGACTAACATCTGTCCTTCACTTCCTTCTGAATCAACACTATCCATCAGTGTTAGGAGAGAAGCTCCAACTCTTTTTACCACTTCATTCTGAGTCCCTTCTTTTTGGGGGCAAAGTGCATCCAGCTCATCAATAAAAATAACTTATGGGTGCCACAGAGTGGCTTCAGCAAATATCTGACGTAATCTTGCTTTGGTCTCCCCATAGAATTTGCTCACAATTTCAGGACCATTTATCACAGACATACAGGCCCTGACCTCATGGGCAATGGCCCTAGCAAATCATGGTCTTCCAATGGTTGGGGGGTGGGAGGGACAGTAGAGTAGCACTCCTTTAGGCAGAGGGATTCTATAACTCTTGAAAAGTTCAAGCTGCTTGAAAGGAAGTTCAATTATTTCTCCAATTGCTCTCACCTGACCATTTAAGCCTCCTACCATGTCATAAGTTACTTTGAATTAGTTCTCTTGATCCTTTAAATTTGTATGAATTTTTTTTCTTTTTTTTAAATTTATTTTTTTAATTGATTATGCTGTTACAGTTGTTCTATTCCCCTCCTTCATTCCCCTCCACCCTACCCCCATCCCCACCATTACCCCCCCTTTAGTTTATGACCATGTGTCTCAAGTTCTTTAGATTCTGTATTTCCCATACTATTCTTGCCCCCCCCATCTATTTTCTATCTACTGTCTATGCTACTTATTTTCTGTACCTTCTCCCCCCTTCTCCTCCTCCCACTCCCCTGTTGCTAACCCTCCTTGAGATCTTCATTTATATGTTTCCACTCCTGATCTAGCTGCCCTTTTAGTTTGCTTTTGTTTTAGGTGTGGTTGTTAATAACTGTGCATTTGTTGTCCTTTCAATGTTCATGTTTTTTCAACTTCTTTTTCTTAGGTAAGTCCCTTTAACATTTCATATAATAAGGGTTTGGTGATGATGAACTCCTTGAATTTGATCTTATCTGAGAAGCACTTTATCTGCCCTTCCATTCTAAATGAAAGTTTTGCTGGATAGAGCAATCTTGGTTGTAGGTCTTTGGATTTCATGACTTGGAATACCTCTTTCCAACCCCTTCTTGCCTGTAAGGTCTCTTTTGAGAAATCTGCTGACAGTCTGATAGGAACTCCTTTGTAGGTGACTGTCCCCTTAGCTCTTGCTGCTTCTAGGATTCTCTCCTTGATTTTAATCTTGGCTAATGTAATGATGATGTGCCTTGGTGTGTTCCTTCTTGTGTCCAACTTCTTTGGGACTCTCTGAGCTTCCTGGATTTCCTGGAAGTCTATTTCCTTTGCCAGATTGGGGAAATTCTCCTTTATTATTTGTTCAAATAAGTTTTCCACTGGTGGCTGTTCCTTTGCCCCTTCTGGTAGCCCTATAATTCGGATGTTGGAGCATTTAAAGATGTCCTGGAGGTTCCTAAGACTCTCCTCATTTTTTTGAATTCTTGCTTCTTCGCTCTTTTCTGTTTGGCCATTATTTGCTTTCTTCTGGTCCACTCCATTGATTTAAGTCCCAGTTTCCTTTTCATCGCTATTGGTTTCCTGTGCAATTCCATTCATTTCAATTAGTTTCGCCTTCATATGTTTCTCTAATCTGTGGCTATAATCAACCAGTTCTGTGAGGATCCTGATCACCAGTGTTTTAAACTGTGTGTCTGAGAGTTTTGCTATTTCTACATCGCTTAGATTTATAGGCTCTGGGGCTTTGAGATCTTCTTGAGCCATTTTTGGTCTGTTCTCGCCCTTTAAGTGTGAGAAGTGGTTCCTTAGACTCCCAGGTTGCTGGGTTGTGACTCTGTATGTGGAGGCGGGGTCAGAGCGGGGAAATGGCGGCCCCCCTCTGTTGTTTCTTGCAGCTGGGTGAGGAGCAGAGCCTTAGGTTGTTCACCGGGGCAGGGCCCCTTAGGTCACTGGATTATGAGGCTGTATGTGGAGGCAGGGTCAGAGTTGGGAAATGGCGCACCCTCTGCCGCCACTTGCCGCTGGGGCTGCTGGCTCTCGTCCAATCACCCACTCCCTTGCTTGTCTATCCACACACCAATGTGCAACCACAGTCAACCCGCAGCCCTGCTCCCTCGCTGTTTCCCTGCGATTGCTTGCTGAGTTGCCCACCAGGTCCAACCCTGCGCATGGATTCCATGCGCCTGAGTCCGTCTGACCGAGTTTTCCTGTGCTACCCAGCTCTGCCAGCTGCTGGTTTCTCCCCCTTACCGGTCAGGCTGAAGAATTTGTTGTTATCAGACTTCTGAAAAGTTCAATTTTCTGTGTTCTGGCTGTGTTTTCTGTTGCTATTATTTAGTTGTCTCTAAACTTGGTTGTGTGAGGAAGCATGGTGTCTCCACCTATGCCTCCATCTTGGCAGAAGTCTTGTATGAATTTTTATAAAATTGACTCTGGCTGTTGTAGAAATGAAATAAAACGCATCAGTGTTGCACTGTGCTCCTAGACTGGCTGACTTTGGCACGCTCTCTTCAGTGGCAAGGTCCTTGTTCCCTTCTCCTTCAGACGCAAAGCAACATTCAGGGGCTGTGACTTCCTTGAGCCCGAGCCCAAGCCCACTACTGCCATCAGGACTCTGTGTGACATCTGACAAAATATCACCAGCTTTATTTTTCTTTCTGTCATCTACTGGTTTGCAGGGAATACTGCCTGACAAGGGACCCAGGGCTCATCCAGATCCAGCTAGCTTAGGTGTAAGGGCAGATCCTGAGCCAGCAGGTTCAGAGGCTGTTCCCTGTGTATCAGTGTCAGAGTGGCTCTGCAGCTGTTGCAGTACCATGCCATCTGCCTCATTCACATGCAGCACTTGCTACTTGCACAGTCATCCATAGAATGTAATGTACAGGAAGTTGCCTGGGTAAAATAATCTTGCCATCTAGTTTTCTCAGAAAACAATCAACCAGTTGTTCTTCACTGATATCCACATTTTTGTCATGGAGTGCCACGTCCATCTCCTCAGCCTGCAGCACAGTGCCCAGTAGAGGCTGGAAGTGGATGGCGTTGCTATCTCAGATACCCGCATTGTTCTGGGCTATTTCACTCAGGCCAACCTTGCCTCCAAGAAACCCGACACAGGCCAGGCTGTTTAGACCTCTTGTTTTCCATGTAAACTGGTAAGCAGCACTGGTTGACCTACTTATACATGTATTTGCAGGCTTCATAATGCTGAACCCAAGTTAAACAAGGGAATTCTGGAATTTTGTAGGAATTTCATCATCCTTTTCTAAGAAGTTGATCACCACCACAGTCCTGGTCACCCCTCCAAAGCCAGCTTCAGCACAAGTCCCTGAGGACCCTGAAGGGGAGTGAGCCACAGTGGGCGAGTGAACTGCTGTTGGGCCTCCGGGTGAGCCATTTTCTTCTTCTTGGAAGACATGATTGGAAGGCAAGCCTTAATCTTCTAATACAGTGAGTCAACACACTATCACAAAAATGGTGGTGTTTTTAATTCTGGCATTTGTTTGACAGTCCCACATTTATTGCTTCTGCAAAAGAGGCAGCAGAGTAAAAAGGCTTGACTAAAGAATAGAAAGTTGATTAACCAAAAAATAGCCCTGGCTGGTGTGGCTCAGTGGATTGAGAGCTGTCCTCCAAACCAAAGGGTGGCCAGTTCTATTCCCAATCAGGGCACATGCCTGGGTTGCACACCAGGTCCCCAGTAGGGGGCATGTGAAAGGCAACCACACACTGATGTTTTTCTCCCTCTTTCTCCTTCCCCTTCCTCTAATCTTTAAAAACAAATACAGTAGTACCTCTTTAAAAAACAAAAACAAAAAGCAATTTCCTCCTAAACTATATAAGAAATGTGGAGTCATTATCACACCTTTAAAAATACAAAAAAAGAGAAAAATAAGCTACATATAATCCCATTGAAACTCACTCTTAGTATTTGATGTGCTTTTGCCTTCTAGTGTTTTTTAGGTGCATTTCTATGTACACAGACTTTATTATAAATTTGAGATCTCAATTATCATGTGGTTCTTTAGTTACCATATGAACATTTCTAGGTCACTGAAGAATCTCTGAAAGAAGGGATTGTAATGACTGTATCATATTCTACAATACTGATGCATTAAAACTATCCTCATCTTTTGCTCATTTAGGCTTTGTTCAATTTTTCTCTTTCAGACATAAGTTCTGATCAATCTCTATGCAAAAACCCTTGAAAATATCTTATGATATAGTCATAAAATTTGGAATTTCTATGTTAAAATGGACTGCTAAAACTGAAATTGAGAACAGGCTGACAGTGACCAGAGAGGAGAGGGGAGGGAATTTCAAAGGAAAAGGGGAAGGGTTTAAATGAACAGATATAGAAGACACATGGTCAACAACAAGGGGGGGTGTGGAAACGGGAGGGAGGTGGGTAGGGCTGGAGTGGGCTGGGATGGGAGTAAAAGGCAGAAACCTGTACTTGAACAATTAAAATAAAATTTAAAAAAAGAAGAAGAAAAAAGAGAACTCCACAGCTATGAGTTCATGTGTGGAAAGAAATTCATGCTTTTAATCGCTAAGTGTGCACTCCTCCAACTAACAGACAAGTAATATTTACAAAATTTTATAACTTCAAGTACCCAACTTCATTCTTTCCTTAAAACAAATACTTTGAAAAACAGTTTAAAAAGTTAGATGACTATTATGTGAGTAAGCTGATTTTAACCATCGAATATTATAATCTCCCATTAACTGGATCTTAAAACCTACTAGGCATTTAGGAGTGAGGGACTGTGGAGGTTTCATTTAATAAGCAATATACATACATATTCATAAAATTAGGATGTAAGAAACCTTAGATAAAATTAAAGCTTATTTCCAAAAAATTTTCCAAAATGCCACATAAAGAATATGATGCTAAGCAGATAAACAGGATAAATTTAGCATATCTTGTCATTAAACCACCAAATGATTAAAGAAAAATTTCAGAAGTTACCAAAATCTCTATACTACAAAGTACAAAAATTTATTTTTACCAAGGCTCAAAAAGCCCAGAGGTATAACCTGTGAAAAGGTTGCCAACATCAGCCCTACCACCATAGATCGGTGATTTTCAACCTTTTCCATCTCATGGCACACATAAATTTATTACTAAAATTCTACAGTACACCAAAAAATATATATTTTTTGCCAAGCTGACCAAAAAAGTTATAATTTGATTCACGCACAACGATGGCTATTGTTGTGTTGGCTGCTGTTATTTGTTTCACTGACAATCTAAGAGAAAAGTTGTTAGTGCCCCTGACTAAATAGTTACTGCATGTTTTAAAAATTCTTGTAGCCATGGCACACTGGTTGAAAATTGCTATCTAGACAGAGGTGTGTCTTACCTTGAGGGTCTGCCTTTTTGTAAGCATTCCCAGCATCCACAAAGCTGGTAGCAGAATCATGTTTGCCCTGAAGCTGCATATGGAGCTTGGCTGCCTGACAAAATGCATTTCCTGCAGCTGAGGAAGATAAAGTACTACAATTAAACAGAGAGGCACAAGTATCCCCACAGAACAGTCCATGCTCTAAATGCTAGACCTACTCCTAGAAAGTTCCATTCCACTGAAAAGAAGCACTCCAGTCAGAAGCACATGAAAATGTGATCTAGTGTATCTTAGGTGTATATAGAAATAACCGGAATCAGTCAAAGATTGATAAAAGCTTCTCTCAGTCACAGAGGACCTCCCAAGAGGCCCCTGAGCAATAAGCCTCCATTCAACGGCAACGGCCTAATCCTAGGCTGTTCAATTCTGTTCTACAGAGTATACTGAACAATGACTGGCAGATTTAAGCTACTAATGTTTAAACAAAGGTAAAATACTGAGGTCATTTATTTGATCATCTTTCTATCTTACGGTGTCCACTGGACTTACTTGTGATTGAAGAAAACTGCTAATGAAGGCTTCATGGACAAAAATTTCTCAAAGAATGATAATTACACCTAGAATTATGAAATTCAGTTTTTTCATAAATTTATTACACAATATGACTGCAATTTATAAAAGGTTTAATCTGTCTGTATTTCACTTAGTCTGAAAACTCATACTACTTCCCTGCAGAATCACAAATGGATTTGGTTATGGGGTGCTGACCATGTCTTTTTTGGAATGTAGCACAATGTGAAAGGTTTGTGCACTAAAATTTTTTCAGAGAAGGTTCTGGATCCAGGACTATGAATTCTGGAGTGGCAAAAAAAAAAAAAAATGAAGGAAGGAATCCCTAATAGAGAAGTCACACGAACAAGGAACAATGCTTGAAGGCAAGAAAAGACTGAAACTAAGCCGGAGAGAAGCCCATGCTTGCCTGTGGGAGGAGGAATGAAAGTACAGGGGCGGTGAAAATCAAGGCTGATGATGCCGACAGGTCAGTTCAGGAAAGTTAAATGTTAACATGAGAAACCTGGGCAAAGATGAATCTACTTCAACACCAAGTTCTCAGTTCAGAGAGAGCACAGCACCATGACAGTGCCTCAGAAAAATGAGCACCACAGACTGGGAAGCACAAAGGCCTATGGAGACACAGCTCAGTAAGATCTGGAATAGGGAAGGCAGTACCAACAGGAAAGAAGGAGAAAGAATTTGCTCCACTGGAAAAAGCAAAATTAAGAATATTACAGAACCTTTTGGTCTTAAAAAAACATATTTCAAAAATATACAGAATATAGTGTCAGATGCCTAAGTACCCACTGCTGGTATTAAATGTTTACTTTAAATTCCTTTTTAAAAAGAGATAAAACATTCATTTCCATTAAAGTTTCACCTACTGTCCGCTGTCCCTAACCCTTTTCCAGAGGTAACCACATAGTTCCCACTCGAGATAGAAAAAAAGGTAGTACAAACTTTCCAGCCAGCCTGCCCAGGTTTAACTATTGTTCTGTATAGAAAGAATGCCCAGATAGTTCTGAAAATATTTAACTACCAGCATGAACAGAGAACCCCTGCCCACCTGGCTTTAACCCTTTCATGGGTGAATCATGAGGCTGGGGTTCCCAAAGGAGGGGCCAATGCCACTTCATGGGTAGTGGGCAGGCACCTGAAGTACCTGGGGCAGCAGCTAACTTGTAAATAGCAGTTCAGGAATATATCAGCTAAATGGAAGCTTTGATGGGTTCCGCCTTGGAAGAGTACAGTGATAACTTGGATCTCCTGAAGTAAAGCGTTTACAACAGACTGGCTCCAGTTACACATCATTATTATTATTACAGGAAAATCTACCCTACATCTACCAATAGCAGTGGTTTTGTAACAGGGCACAGCAAAGAGGGGGCCCCCAAATAAGGGATTTGGAATGGGGTCCAGAACTCAAGCTGTCCAGGGAATATTAGAAAGACATATGTCCTCATCCCTTACTGCTCCCACCACAGGTGTCAGTTGAGGGAAGGAACAAATGGAGCAGGGCCATTGAGAGTTGTTTTCCATAACAACAGTTTTGCAGGTAACCTCTAGAATGGTCACTTATCTATAACTTTTAACTGGTTTCATAGATATGTTAAATAGCTGTGGCTATATACTGAGCCAGGGAGAAGGGAGTGACTTCCACCCAGGATGTAACTGGGAGGCAACACCCCCTGGTTACAGGGCCTGCCTGAGAGCTTGGAGATAATTGGCTCTACTGGATGGGGCAATGCATGCCCAGACTCACTATGGCAGTCCAGTAAAGCTGGGAGGATAAGGGAGTCCTGGCAACTGTAGGTGATTGTGGGAGGAGTCAGAAATGGGGCTGTAAAGAAGAACTAGCTCAGGGATTTAAACACAGACTTGGCAGCCATTGGAAGGGAGAGCCACACAGTTTTGGCAGAGTGAGGACCTCCTCTTGGCCATGTGAGAGAAAGAACCATGTCGCTTTGCCAAAGTGGGGACCCCTCGCAGCCATGTAAGAAGAGGAGAAACCATGGGGTTTTGGCCAGAGTGCAGACCCCTGCAGCTTTGATAGAAGAGGCCCACGCAGCTTTGGGAGTGTTCCCTTTGGCCAAGTGGCCTGGGAAGCAGGAGAGACTTTGCCTGGAAGAAGGGTGAAAGAACTCTTTGCCAGTAGGTCATGAAAAGGTGCTACACGGCTTTGGAGTAATTAGAGATCCTGCCTGGAAGGCAACACAGCTGACAGTGCCAGCAACCTGAATCACGGACATATGCTTCTTTTCCTGAGATACGGTACCCGGAATTAGGGCAGCGTGGAAGGAAGTGCTGTGGGCGTCCATGGTTGTTATCTTAAAGGACTTTGATATATTAATGGGGACATTGGGTCACTACTTCAAGTCTGTATAGCTTTAAATAAACCTTTCCTTTCCTTTTCACAAATCTCTGGCATTGAGAGATGTCTTTCCTCTGATGGTGGACAGATGAGCCCAGTTAGGTATTAGGATACCGTCCTTGGGAGGGGCCCCTGTTGTTCTGTAAGTTTTTGGCATCCCTTGGTGGGCCAAATTTTGGATCTCCCTTGGACCTCTGTTCTGTAACAGTTTGGCATATTTAAATGTTATCATTTCCTTTAAAACTTACAACTTTTCTCTTCCACTGGTAATTTCATTTCTGCAGTTTATCTATGTTGACCCATTATGGTCCAGCCTTTCCCCACTGAGTATAATACCACAACATCCAGGCTCTCTGGGGCAGTATTTCCCCAGACAATATTAAGTGCTTTGATTTTACAGTTTCATGCTCCCACTTCCCAAAACTAATTCCTGGCTTACTTATTCACAGAACATTCACTCCAATCACTGCTAATAAATACCAGCTTGATTTCTCCAAACTTAGAAGTGTCTTTAAAGTAGCATATAGTAAAGTCATACAACTTCTCAAGTTAAATTTCTTCACCTGTAAAATTGGTCTAATACCTGCCAGGATTATCTCTCAAAAGCTAAGTATCAAACAAATTAGCTTAATCTTTATAAAAGAACTTTAAAACTATAGAGGTGCAGTAGTGTTAGGATCACCACTGCTGCAACACAAAAATAATTCCACACAATCTAATATTTATTCACTTACTACACAAATATCCTCAGCATTTACCGTGTTGCAGGCACCAGTCCAGCCCCTGAAGGTATAGCAGAGACGAAACACAGAAACATCCTAGCCTTTTATGGTTGACACTTTAGTGAGGGGACAGTACATAATAAAAACACACACACAATATAAATTAGTAAACATTGTACACTTATTTTTGCTACATGGTAATAAGGGCAATGCAGAAAAGGGAAGGGAATTTCCAGGAAAAAGAAGATTGCTATCTTTAAAAGGGGTGGCCAGGGAAGACCTGAGAAGACAACATTTCAAAGGGATAAAGGAAACAATCAGCCACACTCTATTTTGGAGAAGAGAGTGCACGAAAGGCTCTGAGAAGGGAGCCAGGTGAATGAGGGGAGTGGGTAAATAAGGGATCAAGGAAGAGATAGGGATCAAGGTTCAGGTAGATCCTGAAAGGCCACTGTTAAGGACTCTAGCTCTTATTTAAAATGACATAAGCTGACTTATGGAATTTCCTTAGTGTTAGTATAACAGGGCGCAGCCAAGAGTAGGGCCCCCAAAAGGGATTTGGAATGGGGTCCAGAACTCAAGGTGTCCAGGGAATATTGGAAAGACATATGAGATGTCCTCACCCTTTACCACCCCAACAGGTGTCAGTTGGAGGAGGGAACAAATAGAGCAGGGCCACTGAGAACTGTTTTGCATAGCAACAGTTTCACAGCTAACTTCTGGCATAGTCATTTAACATATCTATAACTTTTAACTGGTTTCATGGATATGTTAAATAGCTGTGGCCATGCTCTGAGCCAGGGGGATGGAAGTGACTTCCAACCAAGATATAACTGGGAGACAACTCCCTCTGGTTACAGCACCTGCTTGGAGTGGATTGGCTCCACTCCACAGGGCCATGCCTGCCCAGACTCACTATGGCAGCTCAGTAAAGCTGGGAGGATATGGGAGTTCTGGCAGGTGTTAACAGATTGTAAGAGGAGTAGGAAATGGGACTGCAGAGGAAGACTGGCGCGAGGAATTAAACACAGACACCACAGCCATGTGAAAGAGGGAACCACTGGGCTGTGGCAATGCAGAGAGAGCCATGTGCTTCTGGCAGAATAGGGACTGCCCCCCACCCCGCAGCCATGTAAGAAGAAGGAAGAGAACCATGCAGTTTTGGCCAGAGTGCAGACCCTGTATCTTTGGTTAAGGAGAACCATGTGGCTTTGCCAGAGTTAGGACCCCTGCAGCCATGTGAAGAAGAAAGCCACGAGCTTTGGGAGAAGTGCAGACCCCTGCAGCTTTGGTAGAAGAGGCCCACGCAGCTTTGGGGTGCTCCCTTTGGCCAAGTGGCCTGGGAAGCAGGAGAGTTTGCCTGGAAGAAGGGTGAAAGAACTCTTTGCTAGTAGACCTCATTGAGAAGGTGCCACATGGCTTTAGAGTAATTAGAGATCCTGCCTGGATGGCAACACAGCTGACAGTGCCAGCAACCTGAATCACAGACATGTGCTTCTTTTCCTGAGATATATACCCCAAATTAGGGCAGGGGGAGAAGGAAGCGCTGTGGGCATCTGTGGGTATCCTAAAGTACTTTGATATATTAATGAGGACATTGGGTCACTACTTCAAGTCTGTATAGCTTTAAATAAACCTTTCCTTTCCTTTTCACAAATCTATGGCATTGAGAGACGTCTTTCCTCTAGCAGTGGACAGATGAGCCCAGCAGGTGATCAGGACAGTATTAGTATATCATCCCTGAAGGGGATGGGGGGGCCTGTTGTTCTGTAACAGTTTTTGGCATCCCTGGGTGGGCCAAATATTGCCCCCCTTGGACCTTTGTTTGGTCACATTAGAACATCCTGAAGTGAACCCTGGCTCATGGGGTTCACTACTTTGTGGATGGGGGAGAGATGTTCACATGGACTACCAAGTCCTGTGGAGGAAAAGGGACACCATGGCTTCTCTCTCAAGGGGAGAAAAAGCCTCAGCCCTCACCTTGGCAAGCCTTTATTGCTTTTCTGGGCACACTACATGATGGTCCTCATTTACTATGCACAGATTCCCTTTAGGAGGTCGCCTTTTACAGAAAACAAAGGAGCCTATGCTGCTAATCGCACCACAGAAGAAGGATATTTGCAAATGAAAAGGAAAAAGTGGTTGAACCTGTTACACTCCAAACTGGGGGAATTTTAGAATAGATTGTAGGAAGTTATAGTAAGCACTTGCTGTCTCAATTCAGGGTGAGGGAGTTGTAACAAAAGCAAGTCTCAAAGTGGCCTAGGTACATTGCAGGCCTGATTCCCCATGAGAGAACCTATCCATGGACCTGGGTCCTGTGCATCTCTGAGTGGGAGGTGGGCCCATCTCCTACAACATCTGATTACCAGATAAAAGAAATAAGTGATCTTTTTGAATAAGATCACTTTTCACCTCTGATTACAAGACCTGAACAAAACAAGTAAATGCTGGAATAATACCTTTTTTCTCCTCCATTTTTTTGCAGTACATTATAATTCAGGTATAAGTGCATTCTGAAAACATATAGCATAACCTTACAAAACTAAACTTCTAAAAAAAATTTAAAGCCAGAAAAAACCTTTCAGGTTCATCTAGTTCAACAGCATTATCTTCATTGAAATGATTTTAGAGAGCTAGCTTTAAAAGCAAATGGGTAAATCAAAACATTATACAACTTAAACTTACACAATATTTTATGTCTATTATATATCAATAAAGCTGGAGGCAGGGAGCAAATGGGGGAACAACCGTGGGGTGGCCAAAAACACCCTTCTGTAGGTAATGTAGCAGGTATAAGCTAGGGCCAGAGACCATGTCCCTGTGAAGGCCACCTCCATTTCACTACAGAAATACCCTACCATGACAAAGTCCCTTTTTCTAGGGGTGGAGATAAACTTGGTTCTCAAATCAGTGATACAGACATGCCCTGTCAGACCAATAAAAATAATAATTCTGTTCATTTTTATGTGTAATTTCACTAGGCAGAGAGCATTACTTTAAAAAATAGTAGTAAGTCTATTGGGATTTATATAAACAACACTCCCATAATCATATTTCTCAAAAAAACCACAATCAGTTATCATAGAGCTGTTCTCAGAGTAAGAAACAGAAGTTCTCTAATGTTTAGGTAAAGAAAAGCAAGTATTTTTATTCATCCTACTTATTTTCATTGAATTTTACCACAATTTTCAATCTTTATGGCAACATATTACTTGAGTACATTTGTAAGAAGCAAAAATTACTCTTACTGTATGAAGTGGTTTATAGAAATTATAACAGACCCAGTCCTTATGTTTCATGTCAGTATTTCAACTTCATTCACTAAATGAATGTCCTTCAATTCCAGTTCATGGTGGCCACACCAGTTATTCAGCACTGACATCAGGCTTGGGGCGAATAGTCTTACTCTCTAAGGGAATAGCAGTCATTTCCTCCTTCAAAATAATTTTAAAGTTAACTGCCTGAAAAACAAGCAAACAAAAACTGTATACATACCACTCCAATTTTTAGCCATCTTGAACATATTTGCAGCTCTGGTATACATTTCACAAGCCTCTTCTATTCTTGCATTTCCTCTGAGAAAAATTCAAAAATGGCATTAAGTTTTACTATAACAATCATCCATGTCCCTTAAACAATAATTATTTAATTAGCACATATAATACTACAGGCCAGATAACAGTACAGAATCTTAACAGCTGCTTAAAGGGGATATTCTTATTCCTGTTTTCCAGATGAGGAAACTAAGGCATACACAAGTAAAGTAACTAGCCCAAGGTCACATAGCAAAGATATCACAGAACTGAGACTCAAATACTGATCTGGCTGACTCCAGGTCTTTATTCTTAACCAGTCATCTCCATGAATGAAAACTTAAGTGTATGTTGATCTGAGAAATTAGAACTACATTTTTCAAAGGAGACAAAAATTGGAAGTATAAAGATATCTTTACCACATTAATTTCCAAGAGTTTAGCACTATGCTTACTCAAGACTTAAAAATAAAAACAAACCCTGAAGCTAGAGCATATAACAAAGTGCCACACAGTTCTATGCCTACATTATCTGTTAGCTGTGTGGTAGGGAACACACCCTTCCCCAGTTTGGAAGGGGCTATACACTCATCCCATGTGGAAATACAGCCTGAGAGGAAGCAACTCCACTGCTGCTTTCAAAACACATACTTCTGGAAAGTTCTTCAGCAGCTGATTCCATTGAGGAACAGTTTTAGTTGCTTAGAAATTTCTTCTTACAATGTATTTCAAGGATCTAAACTGACATTTATCCAAAGAAGATATACAAATAGCCAACAACACATAAGAAGATGCTCAACATTATTAACCATCAGGGAAATGCAAATCAAAGCCACAAATGAGGTACCGCTTCATTCCCACTAGGAGGGCTAGAATCAAGAGACAGGTAATAACAAGTAATAGTAAGGATGTGCAGAAATTAGAAACCTCACTTATTGCTAGTACCAACATAAAATGGTTCGGCCACTTTGTAAAACACTTTGGCAGTTGCTCAAAAGGTTAAACACAAAATTACTGTACGACCCAGTAATTCTACTACTAACTATATAACCAAGAGAAATGAAAACATAATGTCCACAGAAAAACTTGTATACAAATGTTCACAGCAGCATTATTCATAATAGTCAGAAAGTGGAAATAACTCAAATGTCCAACAACTGATAATGAATAAATAAAATGTGGTATACACAGAATGAGATATTAAACAATAAAAAGGAATGAAGTTCTGATACATGATACAATGTGGATAAACATTGAAAGCATTACACAGGGGCTAGCACAAATAACATCCCTTTTTATTACAAAATCTTTCAGCACAAAATCATAAGCACGTAATTCTGTAACATAACAATATCACACTCAAGCAAACCATTTGACATTTTAGGTGAAATGTTCAAATTAAAACTATAAATTATCACACCCATATTATTACACTACCAACCACACTCAAGCAGGGGTTAATTCTTTTGAACCCTGTATGTTAAGTGAATGAAGCAGTAACAGGGTGCAGAACATGGTCTCCTGAAAACCTCCACAATCCTTGACTGGGGGAAGGGAAGACCAGATAGTACAGCATTTAAGATACACTGCGTAACAAAAGGCATGTTAATCACCATGCCTTACTAAAGAGAAGATGGTTGCTGCCCAGGGCAAATTGTGTTCATAACTTTGAGAACATTCAGGGACTTGTGACATAGGTAGGGGAGGTAGATGCCCACCCTGGATGCACCTGTGTCACTGGGAACTCTTGCCCTGACTAAAGATGGCAGCTGAAAGAGGGTAAAAGACACTGGGGAACTGACAAAAATAGTGGATGCTAATTTATAAGAAGGGCTGGATATGAGATCACACAGGAAGTTCCAGGCTAAGCATTTAAATTAGGGTTAGCTGAAGGTTAGGAAGAGAGAGCCACATGGTCTACAGTGGAAGAGGAGGTCCACTGGGAGTTCTGAAAATAAGTGAATCTGCCACAAGGAGGTTGGCCAGGAAATCTGCCTGGAGAAGACAGTGACAGAGCTTATGGAGCTACAGGGACCTGCCTAGCAACCCAGATTCTTGAGATGCTTGGGACTGAACTGTAATGGGGAATGCTGAGCTACAGAATTCATTTTTTCTGAAAGACTGTACCTCTGAGTGATATATACTGAAACTAGCCTGGTTTGGCAAAGTGAGGAAGGACTATATGTTTTTGGTGTTTTTAAAGGGAGAAGGACTTAACAGCAGAAATCTGCCATTATTCTAAATCTGTATAACCTTAATTTTTTAAATTTATTTATATTTTACATTTTATTGTTTGTGCTTTTATAGTTGTCCAGTTTTTCTCCCTTTGTAGCCCACTACCCAGCTCCCAACCCCCACTTTCTCATGATATCCCCACACCATTGTCCATGTCCATGGGTCATGTATATATGTTCTTTGGCTACTCTATTCCCTATGCTGTACTTTACATGTCCATGATTGTTCTGTAACTTCCAACTTGTACTTCTTAATTCCTTCACCTTTTACCCATCTCCCTGACCTCCCTTCCATATGGCAGCCATAAAAATGTTCTCTCTGTTCTGCTTGCTTATTTTGTTTTTTTAGATTCAACTGTTGATAGATATGTATTACCTGCCATTTTATGGTTCACATTGTTGATTTTCTTCTTCTTAAAGACCTTTTAACATTTCATATAATGCTGGTTTGGTGATGATGAACTCGTTTAGCTTTTTCTTATCTGGGAGATGAACCCAAAGAGGACTACTACACCATGACACATCATACTTAAAATGCCACCAAAGATTAAAGACAAAAAGAGAATCTTAAAAGCAGCAAGAAAAAAGCAGTTAGTTACCTAAAAGGAAGCTCCCATAAGATGGTCAGCTGATTTCTCAAAAGAAACTTTGCAGGCTAAATCTCTATAACCTTTAAATGAACAACCCCTTTCCTTGTTCACCAAACTCTTGGGCTGGGAGTTACGCTTCTTGGTGGTGGGCAAGCAAACCCCACAGCATTGGCAGGGTTCTGTAACAAAGCCAGTCACACAAAAGCTCATACTGTATAATTCCATCTAAATGAAAGGTATAAAGTAGGCAAATCCACAGAGACAGGAAAACAGATTACTGGCTGCTTAGAGTGGGAGTATTGGGGGAGAAAGGGGGCGTGGGAGGACAAAGTTTCTTTTTGGGTTATAAATATGTTCTAAAATTGACTGTTCTAATGGTTACATAGCTCTATGAATATGCTAAAAATAACTGATTTCTACATGTTGAATGAGTTAACTTTATGATATGTAACATTATATATACACATATAAAGAACAAACAAAAAAACCTTTGGGGGCTATGTCACACAGTGAATGACTGAATGGCAACAAGCTGTACCAAAAGTGCAAGTGTCAGAATATGCAATGCATTCTCACACTCTCACCTCAGGTTCATTTTCCTCCACTTCAACTCAATCTCCCCACCATGTATATATACAAATTGTATTGATTGATTTTTAGAGAAAAGAAGGGAGGTAGAGAGAGAAAGAGAGAGACATCTATTTGTTGTTCCACTTATTTATGCATCCATTGGTTGATTGTTACATGTCCCTTGACTGGCACTGAACCTGACACCTTGGTGTATCAGGATGATGCTCTAACTGAATTACCACACCAGGTGTGTGTGTGCATTTATATTTTAAACAGTTAGCTAATTTCCGCAATGCAACATTCCTAACACACGAAAATTTTCATCTTAGCCATGACTCCTTGGAGCTAACAAAGGCTTGTAACTTTCTTAGGTCTTGTTTTTCTACAGAATACCAGGACTCTTTATAATTGTAGTACAATCATTCTTTTTTTTTAATTTGTTCAAGTACAATTTTCTGTCCTTTACTCCCATCCCACCCCACCGTGCAAAGGGCTCCCAACCTCCCTACCATTTCCACCCCTGCAAGTTTTTGTCCATGTGCTCTCATACTAGTTCCTGTACAAGTACAGTTTTCTGTCTTTAACTCCCATTCCACCCCACTGGGCCAAGGACTCCCAACCTCCCTACCATTTCCACCCCTGCAAGTTTTTGTCCATGTGCCCTCATACTAGTTCCTGTAAATCCTTCCCCTTTCCCCCTGGAATTCCCTCCCCTCTCCCCTCTGGTCATTGTCAATTTGTTCTGTATTTCAGTGTCTTTGGTTATATCCTGTTTCCTTGTTTGCTTTGTTGTTTCAGTTCCTGTTAAAGGTGAGATCATATGGTATTTGCCTTTCACCACCTGGCTTATTTCACTCAGCATAATGCCTTCCAGTTCCATTCATGCTGTTGCAAAGGGTAGGAGTTCCGTCTTTCTTTCTTCCGCATAGAATTCCATTGTGTAAATGTAGCATATTTTTTGGTCTATTCATTTACTGGTGGGCACCTACATTGCTTCCAACTCTTGGCTATGGTAAATTATACTGCTTGAACATTGGGGTGCATAGGTTCCTTGGATTGGTGTTTTACAGTTCTTAGGATATAATCCTAGCAGTGAAATTGCTGGGTCAAAAGGCAGATCCATTTTTAGTTTTCTGAGAAAATTCCATAGTGTTTTCCGTAGAGCTTGTAACACTCTGCAATCCCAGCAAGAGTCAACTAGAGCCCCCTTTTCCCAACAGCCTCTCAAAAACTTGTTGTTTGTTGCTTTGTTTATGGACATTCTGACCAGTGTAAAGAGGTATCTCATTGTGGTTTTAATTTGCATCTCTCTGATAGCTACCAATATTGAGCATCTTTTCATGTGTCTCTGATTCCTCTGTATGTCCTCCTTGGAGAGATGTCTGTTCAAGTCCTTCGCCCACGTTTGGATTGGGTTGCTTCTCTTCTTACAGTGGAGTCCTGTTAAGTTCTTTGTATATTCTGTAGATTAAACACTTGTCTGAGGTATAATTGACAAATATGTTTTCCCATACAGCTGGTTCTCTTGTTATTTTAATACTGCTTTCTTTAGCTGTGCAAAAGCTTTTTATTTTGATGAGATTTCATTTGCTTATTCTTTCCTTTATGTCCCTTGCTCTAGGGGACATATCAGTAATAATGTAGCTGTG